AAAGAGTGTTTAGGGACAAGGAAAGAAAAGTGTAAAGTCTCTGAAGTAGGAATGAGCTTAGTATGTTCAAGGAACAGCCAAGAGGCAAAAGTGGTTGACCAAACTAAATGGGGCGAGGGGGTGGTAAGTGGTGGGAAATGAGGTCAGAGAAGTGGATAAATCATGTATGTCTTGTTTGCTCTGTAAGGACTCTGGATTTTACCTTGGGTGATGGGAAGCATAAGAGCATTTTGAGTAGGAGAACTGGATGATCTCATTCGTGTTATGGGCAGAATAGGCTGCAGACAGGCAAGAGTGGAAACAGAACAGTTAAAAAGCTATTGCAGTAGTTCCAAGCCAGTGGTATTTGTGGAAGTTACCTGTCTATATATTCTGAGTAGGCTCAGAATATATTTTAAATGTGGAGCTGACAGAACTTACTGTTGGATTGAACATGGCATAAGAAGAAAAGCGGGGATGCAAAGCTGACTCCTAGGAATCCTCAAAACCAAGGCTGGCTGAGCTAGCTGGAGGTGTCAGAGGTTTGGTGATGAGAGCAGACTGTGGTTCTTAAAAGGTTGGCAGGAATTCTTTATGATACCTCCAAAGAAATCCTAGTTCTCACACTGGAAAAAGTAACAACCCAAAGTGGATGAGGATCTGTGTGAGAGAGAAGATTCAGGCTATATGGGAAATTTTCAGGATTCTTCAAAGCCTCTTGTTAGAAAGAAAAAATCCTTGGGATGATGGAAAAGATTCAAGCTTTTCTGAGAAGAGAGAGATAGACTGGATTGATCTTCCTTCCAAGTATAAGTAAATCCATTAACAACAAATGTATGCACATTTGTATCTGTGTCCATGATGTGAACATACAATAGTTTTTGTGTTTCCTATATCAAATTTTGTGCCAAGGTTCAATTATCTCACATCTAAAATTTGTGTCACCTTCTTGCTGATATGCTTCCAATCTCTCTTCATTTAGAAATTCTTTTTTATACTGCTGCCCATTGATTTGTCTAAACCAATACTTCTCAAATTAACTGTGATAAAGGATCAGTTTTTAAAACTGATATGTTTGTAGAATATGATATAAATTAATTACTTGAAAAAGTGGAATTAAAATAACAAAGATTACAAAGTGCAAGCCCAGTTTTTTTTAACAAAATCAACTGACAAAATTACTCTGTCAGAATTCTATGAAAGTTTCCAAGAGCTTACTCTCAATTCTGTACTATCCTGTCACAGACTGGCAATTACACAGTTTGTGAACCACATTCTGATTATCAGTGGCATCAACCATTCCAGACCTCAAAAGTTCCAGTGTCTATTAAACCAAATGTAAACTTATCACCATTGTCCTCTAAATTCTGTGCCAGTTCGTTCAGTCTCACCTGCTTCTAACGGGCAAGCCCTTATCTTCTCTCTCTTGCAAGCTACTATTTTTAACTCATTCCTTTTTTGCCTTTTTTTACCCAAAGCATCCTGATACATCTCATAGATGTTACATCAAAACTAAAATGCTTATTGCCCTTAGAAAGCTTTCCTAGGACCCACTTACCTAATCTTTACCCTTTCAGCATTTGTATTTTCTTATATTTATTAGTACAGATTTATCTTATTTGCATTTTTTATTAGAGTATAATAATTGCTTCAGAGTAAAGTCTGATTTTTATCACAAATATAAAAATGTCTAGAATATAGCCACATGGATATCAAAACAATATAAAGTATATAAGTAATTACCTGCCTGTCTAAGAGTATACGGCATGGGGAGATAAAGCACTGGTGTCTATGTAAATACTATCTATTGGAACCTGCATTCATCCCTTTTCCCCCATGCCCTGCTTTCTCTTATTTTCTTACTAGGCCTATCTCCATTAACTCTGGACCCTAAAACTGCTCACCCAAATCTAGTGCTCTCTAAAAACCAAACCAGTGTGTGGCATGGTGACATTAAGCAGGTAATGCCTGATGATCCAGAGAGGTTTAACTCAAGTGTGGCTGTGCTGGGCTCAAAAGGCTTCACATCTGGAAGGTGGTACTGGGAAGTAGAAGTAGCAAAGAAGACAAAATGGACAGTTGGAGTCGTCAGAGAATCCATCCTTCGGAAGGGCAGCTGTCCTCTAACTCCTGAGCAAGGATTCTGGCTTTTAAGACTAAGGAACCAAACTGATCTAAAGGCTCTGGATTTGCCTTCCTGTAGTATGAAACTGACTAACAATCTCAACAAGGTGGGCATATACCTGGATTATGAGGGAGGGCAGGTATCCTTCTACAATGCTAAAACTATGACCCACATTTACACCTTCAGTAGCACTTTCATGGAGAAACTTTATCCCTACTTCTGCCCTTGCCTTAATGATGGTGGAGAGAATAAAGAACCATTGCATATCTTACATCCACAGTAACTTGTCATACTATTGTATAAATTCAGAGTATTATTAAAGAGGTATTGAAATAGTTTACCAGTCTCACTGGTTTCTCTTCCCAATTTATGGGGAACTCTGGAATAATGAAAAGAGGATTCACAAATTGAATTCTGTTCTCACTGTTCTAAGTGGATTTCACTGGAGCTTTTCAAGCTGTCATTCTAACTCTCTGGGGTCTACTATGACACAGGAGCCATTCTCATGAGCATGATCATCATCCTATTATAACTGGAGCAAAATGCAACTTGAGTTTGTGATGCTCAGGAACCCTTTTCAGATGTGCTCAGAAATTCTATCATACTGTCCTTATTCTCCAACATAATGACTCAATAGATTAATTTTTAGATGTGTGCTCTTATTCCTATTTAATTATCTTTTAATATACATTTTGCAACACATTTATTTTCTGGAACTTGTTACTGTAATTAAAAAAAAAATTGTTCCAGAGATTTAAATAAAATGTTCTGGGCTAGTTTATAATCTTGTCTTGAATTCTCTCAAGATACTTTTTAGTCCAGCGAATCTCTGACTCTTTCTCAGTCCCTTTTTCTTGCTTTACCTACCTATGGAGCACTTGTTTTTGTGTATTCAAATACATTTAAGTATTTCCATTTACTTTTGACTATATCCTTTTAGTCATTCCTGCCTATAATTTAAATACCCATATATTTCATCGTGTCCTCTCCAGTATACTCATCCTCTAGCTTGTTCCTTCTTTCTAAGCCTAAACTTCTTAGGCTTATTGATCTCAGCAGTACCCTTGATGAACCATCCCTATTTCCTTTCCTTTGCAAGTCCCATCTAACTGGGCTTCATGCTCTATATCTGACAGGTTTTTTGGGAGAGATGGGGGGCAGGGGGGCAGTACTTAGGACCTGCAGTATGGCCCTCTAAAATTACAATTAGCACAGCTCTTTGGGCAGGATAAAAGCCCTCTGTCCCATCTGTCATAGTGGGAAGGATACATACAACTATAGGTAATATTCGTGTAGTGTTGGTATATACAATATACATACATTTATAGCTGCTGATTTGAGCAAACAACCATGACATGTTATGGCTACATTTAAGAAATTACCTTTTAAAAAAAAAAAAGAATTCATTTTAACTGGAATGTAAAAAGGACCTATTTTGTGCCTGGAGCCTTGCTAGATGTTTCGAAGGATATAAAAGAAACATAAAAAGAAAAAAAAAAGGTTCATCTAGGGGGATATAAAAGAAATTCAGGTGCCTGGACCCCACCTAAGACCAATTAAATAAAAATCTCTAGCAGATGGGGCCTAGGCATTCGTAGTTTGTAAAAGCTTACTAACGTGTGGCTAGGGCAGGGAACCACTGAACTAAAGGAACATGATTTCTCTCCTTTTTAAATCTTTAAAAAAAATTCAAACGTAGAGGAAAAATTACATATTTATATGATAACTCCCATATACTCTCCACCTACATTACCAGTTATTAACATTTTGCTACATTTTCTTAGTCTCTCTCCCCCACATCCACCCCATATGATTTTGTGTGTGAGTATAATTATTACTAATGTTATTTTTGCTGAACTACTTTAGATTAAGTTGCAGGCATTATAATTCTTATTCCTAAATATATCGGCAAGTATCTTCTAAGAACCAAGGTATTCTCTTACATAATCACAGTACTAAATTATCAAATTCAGAAAATTTAACATCAACACAATACTACTTACTAGTTAATATACAGTCCATATAAATAAGTAAATAATTCTAATGGTGGGATTTTAGGCAGTGTAAAATTTCAAGTAATTATGTGACAAAGAATTTGGGAGAAAGAAGAGGGTCTAGTTAAGTCATAGACAGAATTCTAGATAACTGATATCTAAAGTCTGTCCTTGGGGACAGACAAGTGCTACAGAGTTCAAAGAAAGGGGAGGTCAATATTCACCAGAATAGGAGAAAATTCTAAGGAAAAGATTGATTAAGTTGGACATAATGAAAGATGAGTAGGAATGAATATAAATTCTAATCTAGATTTGGAAAATATACTTCTTAAAAATGAATGTTTTGGGGGCTTCCCTGGTGGCGCAGTGCTTGAGAGTCCGCCTGCCGATGCAGGAGACGCGGG